ATCCACCATTTCACTCTTCAGTTTCTGTTACCTGTGATCAACCATGGTTGGAAAATATTAATGGAAATTTCCAGAAGCAAACAATTCATAAGTTTTAAATTGCACACTGTTCTGAGGAGTGGGATGAAATCTCATGGCCACCTGTTTGTCTGCCCTGGATGTTAATATAGTCCTGTCCGGCATCTCCATGAGGTCTATATCCTGCCCGCTGGTCACTTGGTAGCCCTCCTGGTGATCAGATCGAATGTCACAGTATCACAGTGCCTGTGTTCAAGTGATCATTATCTTATTTAATAATGGCATCAAGAAGTGAGAGTACTGGGCCCAATTTACAAATTAAATTACATCATGAGGATGTATGTATAGGAAAACGCATATACGATGTTCAGCACTCTCCCCGTTTTGAGGCATCCATTGGGGGTCTGGAAAGTGACCCTTGAAAGTAAGGGGAGCCTACTGGAGCCTTATATTTTGAATATTATATTTCAATTTCTATAATATAAGTAAATGTTAAAGTAAAGCAGGAGAGGGAGAAGGGAGGGCCATGAGAGGTGTCATTAGGAAATGAGAGTAAAGAGAGAAAGAGCTGAAGGGCAGCCCTAAGGGACCTGAAGGGCACAACAGGCAGAGGGAAGGCACAGCAGAGGCCCCAGTAGGGCAAGACAGGGGGCAGAGCCCCCAGCCCCTCATGGCCATAGCTCCCACTTGTTGGCTCCCATTCCGATTCTGAGTGAGCTTAGGCATCCTGCAGAATCTTTATGACGTGATCTAACTGCCTTGTTTAAGAACTCTCACTGGCTGCCCTGTCAAGAAAGGGCTGCCGCGTAATTCAGGAGAGATGGCAGTGTGGGTGGGCTTTCTGCTGACTGAGATCTCAGGCAGATGGTAATATGTAGTCACATTGGATGGCACTGCTGTCAGAGGATGTGACTGCCAGGCTGGGCCGGATTTTACCCAGGACACAGTAAATACCGTAACTACTTTTGAGAAAAGGAGTCAGATTTATAGATCTTCCAGCGAAGATCTCCTTGGCAGGTTCTGGAGAATCCAGTAGAGGGCAGGAGCTAAGAATGAGGAAGTAGCCCAGCCAGGGATGGTTATATTTGAACTGATTCAGTAAAGAACAGATGAAAAGGAAGCAGAGTGCAGACAGAGAATCTTCAGATTTGGGATCTCATTGACTCTAGGGCAGGAAAGGGAGGGATGTGTCAGGGCAACTCCATGTTGTCAAGACTGGGTGATGGTGGAGCCCAGGACGACAGTGAGGAGGAGCAGGTTTGGGGCAGAAGGAACATGTTGAACTTGAACACAGGCCCAGGTAACCATGAGACATCCCTACGGAGTGTCCTGCAGATGGTTTGACATATGAGTCTGAAGTTCCTGAGCAAGACTTGGGATTCATGATGGAATAGAGTAGGTGGGACAGCCCCTGGTGACAGCAGGACATGGGGGGGGGATGGAGGAAGCCAAGGCCAGAAGCAGGCTGGGCAGGCAGTGAGAGACGTGGGCATAAACAGGGGCAGTTGCCTTCTACAAAGAGAGAGGGAGAAAAGGGTGAGTAACAGTGTCTGAGCCACCAACAGTTCTCGGAGGCTGAGAACCAGACCCAGGCTGTAGGATTTGGTCGTGTAATATCAGAAAAAGCCAAAATCTCCCAATGCGAGGAGTTTGTAGAGACTGAGTGGTAAAAAAGGAGAGGCAGCTGTAGGGTCCCTCTCAAAACACACTTGTCAGTGAGAAGAGGTGGCAGCATCCACACAGCACATGCACTTATTCCCCCCAAATCTGAGCCCCACCTCCCTGAGGTCACCCCACACCTGGTCAGCCTTCAGGGCCTGGCCTTGGTGCTCCCTCCCCTGGGTGGTTCTGTCTATAGCAGAAAGGTCTGCACTGACATTTTAGCATCTGTAGCCCATGCTGATCTCCCATGGCCTGTGGCGCTTTCATTCCAGCATGGTGGTTGTGATTTATTTCCCCCACTAGACTGAGAACCCCCTCAACTCAGGACTCTATTCTGTCCCTGGAGGGGTGCCATGGACTTGGAATGCATAAATGAATGAATGGTCGTGCTTTTGAGAAGAAGTGCCCAGACTTTGAGGAGGGCAAAGGTCACCTCCCTTCCTGGGTCTAGAGATTGTCCTGGGCCTGCTCCAGACCCTCTTGAGTCCATTCTGGAGCTTAGAATGCCAGAGTTGTTTGACTTGAAGCCTGGTTTAAATATTTACGGAACCTAGTAAATTGATTTAAGGAAGTGCTGAGGACAGGAACTGTGGTTATTAATAAATCATAGCAATGATTATTTTCCTCTCAAAAACCTCAGTTGGCCTTATAAGTAATATCTGTGTGATTGGTTAGCGGGGGACAAACCTGGGCTGGTTTGGCAGCTTAAGTAGCATCTATAGGAAGCGCCTCCCGGTGGAAGAGCTGAAGCAGGTCTTCCTCTCCTTTAGGGAGGGGCTGGGAGTAGAGGGAATGGCAGGTGAGATCCTCGGGGTGCCTGCATCTGTTGCAATAGAGGCCAGTTACAACTTCCTGCCTGAGGGGAAGCCCAGCCCCCTGCCCCCAAGTGGACATGGCTCCCCTCACCAGTTCTCTCCTTATCTGCCACTCTCAGGAGGACTCATGTCCAGAGCATCAGGGCACCATATGCAGCCACCTTCTTTGTCTTGCCACACTGAGGGACCTACCGGCCAGTCCTGCAGTCTGCCAAGTGTGGTAGGCTCCTGCTCTCCACCAGGCTCAGTGCCCACTGGCCTGTGCCCAGAGAGCTCAGCCTTCATGAGGCAGACACCCCAAGACAGTGAGTACCTCCACAGATGATGCCCAGCCCCAGGGTATAGGGTGCTGTGGCACTCAGGTGACTTTGGCTACATTAATGAGCTCCTAATATATACCAGCCCCACTTAGGCTGCAGTGAGGGAGGGGAGGAAGGGCAGGTGCATTACTGGTCTCAGCAGTGCTTATGATCTTGTTGAGAGAACCAGCTCTAAGCCCTGCTGTAACAGAAGACAAGAAATAGAACCAGGGAGGTAGCCCCAGAAGATTCCATGACTTTAGTCCCCACTAAAGACCCCAGAGGGTCCACCACAAACATCTGTGGAAAGACAGAAGGTTCTCAGGAGCCCTTGCAGATTCCCTGAGAAGACGAAAAGGAGAATTAGAGAATAGACAGTGGAGACCTGAGCTGACCCCCCCAGCTCCAGAGAATCCTCACCCAGAGGGTCACTGCTGTCTGCCACATCTCAAAACAAAGCTGGGAACCACCAGGCTTTAAGATACCCCCAGCTGCCATCTGAATGTCAGGTGACATTTAATGCCATGTTAAGATACACACATGCCTAAAAATAAGGGTAACATTAAGTGTCCCATGATGTTTGGCTGTCATGCTTTCCATCCCGCACACTGATGAGGGCTTTGCATGCAGTGCTGGTAGGACACTGTTCCCTCCACTCCCCACCTCTCAGTCCAGAGCGGCAGAAAGGCAACCTCACAGGTGATTACAGGTGGGTGAGGGAACAACTGTCGGGAGGACACTCAGAAGGAAGGGTTCAAGGAGAAGGCGTCACTTGAGCTGGATCTTGAAGGCTGCATAGGAGCTCTCAAGGCAGCCGGGTCCAGGGGTGGCTGGGAGAGGAATGGAAGAAAGGCCCACGCTAGTGACAGTGTGGGCAGAGGGAGGGACCTGCAGTCACCAGCATGGCAGTAGGAGCTTCACACACACAGAGAATCACAGGTTACAGTGCAAGAACCATGGGCCCTGTGCTTTCCAATCAGAAGTTAGGATCTGTGGTCTAAGAATTACAAGTATGATTACATTTAAACTCAGCATTGTTCCTCCAGAGTCCCAGGTGGCCCCTCCTAGTGACCACTGCAGCAATATCCTTGTTACTGGCCAAGAGGAGGAGAGGAGCTTCCCTAGGGACAGAGGAGAGAAGGAAGGGGAGCAAAGAGGGGAGGGGTGGGGGCAGAGGGACTGGAGTGCTGTCATCACTATAGAGGGCTGTGCCAACCTTAGCAGGGTGGTGCTTAGTGATGTGAATTAGAGAGAGGAACGACCCACTAGGGCTCACAGCACTTAGAGGCCCTGAGGTGGGCCTGCTGGCTCCTTGCCCTGACGGACAGGGAGCCACTGACAAATCACATTAAATAGCTGAAGCTGAGGCCCTGCTGTCCGGACACGCCCTGCTGTCTGGACACACCCTGCAGGTAATAAGGAGAAACCAGGGAGGGGGTCTGGATGGGGCCAGCTTCCTCTGCCCCTGAGTAACACGAACCTACTTCAGGCTGGCTGAAGAGGCAGAGGAACATCCTGAATATGAACTCCAGGAAGACCCAGATTTGTATCTGTTTTCTATTTTATTGCTTTATCCCCTGGAAAACTGGAACAGTTCCTGACACAGTATAGGTATTCAATAAATAGTGACTGAATAAGTAAATAAACCATTAAACACATGGGTGAGTGGATGACTGGATTCATAGCAGTACACATGAATGGATGCATGGCTGGAGGTATGGATGGGTGCATGGCTGGATCCATGGCTGAATGTATGGATGGAGACACAGATGAATGCATGGATGGGGTCATGGCTGTAGCATGGATGAAAAAACCTGGAGAGATAGGGAGCCCAGGATC